TTTTTGATCACATCTTGTTGTTCATGAAACCAGTACAACAATAAACAAGCCAACAACAAATTAGTTTTACTGGACCAGTAGCTTCTAAACCATACAAGTACAAATGTTCTTGGCCACTTGACATCCAGATCAATTGTATGTATGTATGTATGTATGTTTGTATGTATGTTTGTTTGTTTGTTTAGCACACTTTAAAAACTGCAGCCTCTAGAACTTTATAAGTACCCATTAAATGTATATATCTAGCTGTTCAGACGAGCTTAACCTCCTTCTTTTCCACTACCAGAACCACTACGGGGGCTTAGATGGCGGCCACTACACAGCCTACTGTAAGAACGTCCTCAAGCAGCGCTGGTACAAGTTCGACGACCACGAGGTGTCCGATATCTCCACCTCCACCGTCAAGTCCTCTGCGGCCTACATCCTGTTCTACTCCACCCTGTGATGTTGCCGTGGGACACAAGGAGAGAACACTATACCAGAGCAGCACTGCTCAAGCCTAGAGGTTGCTTTTTTTAATTTCTAAAATCACAGCTCTGAGGACCTGGTGCACGTAGCTGCGGGTTAACTAGTCGTGAATGTGCACGAGAGGGTGCACTCGAGCAAGTGGCTGTGAGATCCCGTCTGTCCCGGATCGGAGAAGGGTGCAGGCACACTGTGCAATGCTTCAGCTACTAGAGGACCCTATAGCTGGTAAAACATGCCGTCTGTTCATATTACTGATCATCTAGAGACTAAACAGATGCTCCTTTTAATCTGACTTCGATACCATGGTTGTGTTGTAGGGCTGACAGCTGGTTCAGATGCTCCTCGCTCTCATTTCTGTCGCACTCGGTGTGGATGGCAGTATTGCAGAACTGATTTTCAGCTCTCTTGTATTGTGCATACACAGGATTAACAGTTAGATGGCATGTACATACTTACCAATGCTGATGTTGCACATTGAAAAATGTAAATACATGAGGGCAAGGTGTTTATCTGTTAAGTGACCAAATTATAATTTTTCTTTTTTCATTAAAGTAGCAGCCATCCTAATATCACCATATTCATAAAGACAAACCATGTGTTTTAGGGGTTTAACTGTATAGCCTTCTGATGTTTCACATGATAAGGGGGACGGAAGAGACTGTGAGTGATTTTTGCATTCAGCCTGATGAGAAGAGGCAGTTTAGACTGTTGCTTGTTCATATTAGCCACATTCTTGCACTTATACAATATGCAATCGATTTAAGTTGTTTATGTAGAACACATTGTTTAACAGCAGACATTAATACTCAACTCCAAATGCTTTAAAACGATACTGATGCTGAGATCTTGTCCGTCTTGCTCGGTCCAGCCGGTGACAGAAAACCCTACCTGCTTCTATAAAGATTATTCTCTGTTTAACATGCTAAACTCTTTACATTATTATAATCACAAACACTATTTAGAGGAAAAATTACAGGGATAGGTTGAAATCCTCCTTGGCTTTTATCACCACTGATGCTGTTTTCGTTTGTGGGAGGATGGAGTTTTGGTTTATCTAATTAATATTTCTGTTCAGTACTGAGCCAGAGAATATGAAGACATGAGAAACTGACCTTATTCACTTGCGAGTGTATTCGTGTCAGAATTTGCTGCCTGACTTGACTGACCAACAGACTGACAAGAGCAAGCACAAAGTAAACTGATCTTTTTTTTTTCTTTTCTTTTTTTTTTTTAATGGACCAGAGATGTGAATTTGCAGGATGTGACTCTCTACTTCCTGAGTACAGTTTTATTGCCTAGCATGGGATCATAATCTGTTTTCTTTTCACTTGTACATGTTCATTTTAAGTTCTTAATGTTCCAAAAGACTTTGTTTCAGATATAACGATTATATTAACCTCAAACAACTCATATGACTATTTATTAAAACTGCTTCAAATTAGTGTTTGTTTGCGTGAATCAGTGTTTCGTTGTCTGACTTATCAGATGTAGACTGAGGGTATAAAACCTGCCACTGGCTGCCTATTTCACATGGCTTTTTCCTCCTACTACTAGCTGTATGTTACAGTTTTCAACAGCAGCAACCTACCACACTGAAATTTCTAGTTTTTCAAGGCTTTGCTAGTGTTCTTGTCCGTTTTCATGATAGTTTGTGTTTCCCTGCATGCAAATGTTCCATCAAAACAATTCCATCCATCATTATTTTTAAGGCAACACCAAAGCTGCATCCTTTACTTGGTGCCATCCACAATGACAGGGATTGAATTAAAGAAATTCAAGCAAGCCAGAGTGCTTTCCCCCTATAGCAGAATAAGAATGAAGTGCAGCCAGATGATTCTGTTCTACAGCATGGACTTGCTCAGTGAGACTCGTGTTTCAGAGTATTTTCAGAAAATGCATTCAGCGGACTGAATGAAGACCTGTAAGCTGGTGGATAAACATTACACACAAACGAAGATGAAAAGCTACGGATAGCTGAATGAAGGTTTTATTACAGCTTCATGCTCGTGTGGTGAATGACACTCTGACTTATTATAAATTACTCAGAGAAGAGACAAGATCTCTTATTTATTGACAAAAGATGAGTTAATTGCCTCTGTAGAACCAAGTAACTAAATTTGTGCACAGATTTTTATTTTCTATAAATGTTTTGATCACTAGCAGTATTTACTCAGTTGTATTCTTTTAACTAACCTTGCTTTAGCATATTAAATACTAATTATATTGGTCCTGGAGCTGTAAGTTGGTTCCGAGTTTTTTGGGTCTATCGTCCAACTTAGGTTGACTTTTTTTGTGTTTGTGTGTGTATTCCTTTTGCTGTTTTATCAGATTTTAAACCTACAAAATGTGCATTTGGACAGGTATGTATATATACAAAAATGATGGTACCCCTAGAAAAGACTGAAAATAATGTGACCATAGGGACGTGTTCAATCAAGGTGTGTCCTCTAATTAGCATCACAGGTGTCGACAAACTTGTAATCAGTCAGTCGGCTATTTATAGGGTTACAAGTCGTCACTGTGCTGTTTAGTGACATGGTGTGTTCCACACTAAACATGGCAAGCAAAGGAGAGAGTTGTCTCAGGGGATTAGAAAGAAAATTATATACAAGCATGTTAAAGGTAAAGGCAATGAGACCATCTCCAAGCAGCTGGATGTTCCTGTGACTACAGTTGCACATATTCAGAAATTTAAGGTCCATGGGACTGTAGCCAACCTCCCTGGACGTGGCCGCAGGAGGAAAA